ATGAACTTAAATACAGTTCAAAAATAATAAAGTAAGGACATTAACAATAGGTACAGAGTTGTCTATGTGATAAAAAGCAGAAATGGAGATATTAAAAACAATAATAATAGGCCAGGCACTGGTATGTAATCCTAGCAACTAAGGGGTCTGAGACCTGAGGATCAAGGTTCAAAGCCAGCCTGAGACTCTTAGACAATCCATGAAATTCTTTTTTTTTTTTTTGGGTCCGGTCCGTGGGGCCTGAACTCTGGGCCTGGGCGCTGTCCCTCAGCTCTTCAGCTCAAGGCTAGCACTCTACCACTTGAGCCACAGCACCACTTCCGGCTTTTTTCTTTCTGCTTATATGGTGCTGAGGAATCGAACCCAGGGCCTCATGCATGCAGAGCAAGTACTCTACCACTGAGCCACCTTCTCAACCTCACCATGAAATTCTTATCTCCAATTAACTACCAGAAAACTCGAAGTGGAGCTGTGGCTCAAGTGGTAGAGTGCTAGCCTTGAGGTGAAGAGCTGAGGGACAGCACCCAGACCCAGAGTTCAAGCCCATGCCAACAAAAACAATAATAGTAATAATAAAGCCTAATTATGTTTGAGAAATGATTATATCCAAATAATAAACCTACTTACTGCCAAAGTTATTATCATTTCCCCTAAATTTAGTCTTAGGTCCAACTACATTTTTATGATATTGTTATTATAGCGGTATAAAAGAAGTTTTTAATAAAGATCTTTTAAAAACTGAAGCTGATTGTTGATGGCTCATGCCTATAATTCTAGAGGACCACAGTCCAAAGCCAGTCCAGGCAGAAAAGCCTGTGAGGCTTCATCTCCAATTAACTAGCCAAAAGGTAGATGAGAAGCATGTTTCAAGTGGTGGAACATCTACTGAGCAAGCAAGCAGAACAAGAGAGCAGGAGACCCAGAGTTCAAGCCCCAATGCCAGCACAATAAATAAATAAATACCTGGAGAAAAATTATCAACTTTTCTGAGTCTTTGTATAAAGGAAGTTTTCTCTAAAATAGTGTCAATCAGCTACCTTGTCCATATGAATGGCAGTATAAGAGTATTTTTGAAACCATAGCAAGGTTATTTTTTCTCCTGTATAAATTAACTGCATATAGAAAGGACAGAAGACAACCTGGTCTTTACTCAGTTCTTGAAAGATGTGTATTTCTTACTTCAGACACTTGAGAAACAAATTAAAATTGTAGGAAGACTTAGAAATTTCCACTAAGCTATTCAGCAAAAAGTCTGCATTTTGCCTGACAACAACTTGACAGCCTAAGTCATACAGAAAGAGAAAATTATGGTCACCTCCTCCTAGGTATCTGTTTGTCTTAAGTCACCCAATGAGAACCATGGTCTTGTATAAAACCAAGAAGACTGGCAGATTCCTTTTCTGAGGTAGTTCAATGAAAGGGTAGGGGAGAAAGTGGGAACTAACTGGGATTGGCCTTGTCTTCCATCCTCTGTCCTTCCATACCATAAGGAAGGTAAGATATGCTACTTGCTTGGCTGCTTCTAAGAAACACAGAAGACTGGAGAACGTGGTCAATTCATTCAGCAGTTGCGAAAGCCACCCATATGTTCCTGCTTGTCCTGCTTGAAGAGACATACAAACAGACTAAAATTGAAGGGAAAGTTAAAATTAAAAAAAAAAAACCTGAAAAAACAGAAAGTAAACCAGGTCAGTAAAACTAAAGAAAATAGCTGCTAATTGGAGTGACTGAAGTTTATACTAAATGCTCCAAAACCAACTTCATTTAAGGTCTGTTGATAATATTCTGTTACAATTAAAAAACAGCTAATGACTTGTTCAAAAAACCCAGAGTTAGAATCTTACAGGTTTGAGAAAATAAGATACGACTTGACAAAGATGTTTACTTATCCAAGTTATACCTTTTCACCCACATACTTGCTAGTCTCATCCCAATTCAGAAAATGTAAATCCTCCAGTTTGCATCATCCTATTGGGTCTTTCAGCTTGAAAATGCCTGTGTCCACTTCCTACTTACTTCCTCCTAGAACATTCCAAAACCAACTCTGTCCCCCTAATCTCAGTAGCAGACACAGCCATTCACACACACACACACACACACACACACACACACACACACACACACACCTGAGAGAGAGAAAGATTTTCACAACTTAGTTTTCAACTTTTTTCTTCAACCTTCAAAAAGAAATATTAACACAGCATTCATGAGCCAAAACAGCAAGGGAGAAACCAGAAGAAACGTGGCCCTTCTACATCCCGTAACACTTTCTTTTGCCAAAAAAGAGGAAGGACAATTCCTTCTTATCACAGCAAACCTCAACTCTCGACCATTTAAGATCTTGGCTTAGCCTGAGTCCACAGGAATCTGAAGGCTTCCACTGAAAGGCACACCTCTGCTTAGTCAGCCTTCCAACTTCTGCCCTCTCCTTAAAAGACAGAAAAGCAGCATCCTCTGTTTTCCTGTTCATAAAAGTGTTTCTCTCTTGCTTTCCTTCCACTGAGCTCAATCTTCCTTTGTAGAGCTCTTACAAAGCACTTCCTAATACCACAAGAAACCATTACTCTCCAGGAAAATACAACTTTGCTTAGTAGAGGAGCCTAACACAGAGCAATTTGCCAGTGGTCCATTTTTCATTTTAGACAAGACTTTTAAGCCTGGCACAAATGTGCCAGTCCTCCCTCCCCTAACAGCTGCCCCAAACTTACCCACTCACCCCTGCAGTGTGGTCATTGTGCATTGGAGCTATCCATGCACTGTTCCAAGAAGTGAATTGTAAAATGCCACCTCCCAGACTCAAAAGTCTTCCACACAACACTCCTATGCACAAACCACCAAAAGCATCAAATGAAGTCACTTACCACAATAGCAGCTCCAGGACAAGGCAAGGAGAAACATCTAATCTTTTCTCAACTCAATTACAGTCAGCTTCACTTTCCTGTAATTTGTGGCCATGCATCACAGGCCCCACCCTCTGTGTTAGAAAGTAATACCCTGGAGTCAGAGGCCTCACAGCATGTTCTAGAGACTGTGTGCTAGCAGACAGGCATGAGTTAAAGTCTCAGATATGCCTCTTATTACCAATAAGAAAGGTACCCATTCCTTCTAAACTATTCTTCCTAAACCTCGGGTTTGATACCTACTTGCTAAGAATTACAAATGAGTTAGTTTGGACAGAAACCTCAGGTGAACATGTGACTTACAAGTGACTGCTGATAGTTAATAACCATGGAGGGAAGGAAGGAGCTGTAATTTGTAAACCAGCAAAGTCACCTCATAGAATCCAGATGTCCTGGCAGTCACCAGCACCGACAGAAACAAATATACATTCCATCACTATCAAAAGAAAGAAGGGCTTTAAGAAAAAGTCAAGCCTTGGGTGGTGGATAGCTGTAATGCCAGCTACATAATGAAGAACAAGAGGATCTCCATAAAGAGGCCAGACTGGGCAGATAGGAAGGTCTTTTCTCAAAAAAAAAAAGGGGGGGGGGGAGGCTGGAGTGTTGGGTTGGATCCCTAGAACTGATTTAAAAACAAAAAATTCAAATTGCAGCAAGTAAAAAAAAAATCTATCCCATGCTAACAATCCCAATACTAGATAGTCAAGTGATGATTTATTGCTATGGTGAAGGGAAAACCTACACACAAAGGAAAAAACTAATGACACAGGTGCCTCTTCAGGCTTAAAAAAGGAAGAATATATTAGCCTTGGAAATTCCCTTCTCCTCTATATGTCTAATAAGTTCTGGCTGTTATATATGTATAAATAAAAAGGCAATACTGAACATTCCAAGAATCTCAGCTGGCAACAGATTACTACCTAATAAATGAATACCTAAGAATTGGGGGAATCTTGGAATTAAATTTTCACACACACACACACACAGAACATTTTAACCCAATGAAAGACAAAGGGACATTAACACAGAATCTTTTTTAACTTTCTGCAACAAAAGCTGTGGAACTTTGGAAGAAAATATCTTAAAATATATTTGCCTTTCCAGATGGCAAAGTTAGGAGTCACAGTCTGAAATGAAATGTAAAAGTTTACAGTCATTGCAACCAGAAAATCTGGTAACAACCAAGAATTGTCAGATTTTAAGATTTGAGAGAGTTAGTGGAGAACAATAAAGGAGGCAGATGATAAAGCAGATTTATACTATAAAATTATCACAGAACTAAATAGGGCTGAGCCTTGCACAATTAAATTAATTCAAACTCAAGAACGTAGAACATACAGGTATATATCAGGCAGAATCTATAGTGTTCACAGGCCTACATTGGAAATCAGAACACAGGAGCTCATGTCTTGGCTCCAATCCAAATCACCATGTGCCCTTAAGGCAAGTCACTTGCCCTTCTTAAACCGGTCTCTATAGCTTTAGGAGCTGAGGAAATTATAATGGTAATTAAAGATTCTTGCGGGCCTAAAATTTTAAGAGCCAAAAGTATACAAAGATCAGGAGTTCTCAGGCCATTGACTTGGAAACAAGAGATGGAGGGAAAGAGACTGGAAATCAGAGCCAGAAAGTGAGAAAACTTAGGAGTAAGAAACTCAGCGTTGGTGGAAAGAAGCTTCACGACGGCCAAGTAATCCAAAGGTTCCAGGGAAGAGAGGATGTGAGGATCTCACGAAACTACAAACTGCTCAGCATATGTCAAAATGAGCAGAACGAGGGGGATGGTACGATCCACGAATTTCCTCCGCTAATGAGATCTGTACTGGATCTGCCCCGGTAAAAAGCTAGAGAAGATCCTAACTAAAGCTGTGACCACGAAAATCACCGTGACCCCCTCCTCACCAGGACCAGGTGTCCGGAAGGCAAAGAGTAAAGGAGGTTCGCACAGGGTTCGGTCTAGTGAGGGGATTCCAAGGGTGGGTGAAAAGTGAGGAAGGGGACAGGGGAGACCATGCAGGCTGGCGGGACAGGAAGAGGAGTCAAGGACTGACTCCAGCTCCAAGGCGGCAGAGGGGTCCGGGTTCGGGGCCCCACTCTCACCATCTTGACGATGCCCCGCTGCACGGTGGGGACCGCGGGTCCCCCGGAGGAGCCGCCGCTCTGCGCCGAGGAGGCCATGTGTGGAGCTGGAAAGGCAGCGAGCGGGGCGGAGGGCCTGGCTGGAAGTGTCAAGATGAGTGTCGGCGTCGGTGAGAGGGCGCCGAGACGAGGGACAGGCGGGCGACCAGGCTGCGGGCGACGGACGGGATGGACACTCCCCGGGAACACACCGGAGCAGCAGCGGGAATGGGAGCAAAAGAGGAGACGCGATCTCGGCCGCCGCCACACGTTCTACTCGCCGCGCAAGCGTGCCAGAGCGCCACCGCCCTCCGTCCAATTAGCGCACGGAGCCCGCCGGACCTCAAGCCAATAGGCAACCTATCCACGAAGCCCCGCCCCTTAATCTCAAAAAAGGTGGGGAGCTCCAGGAAGCGCTGAAAGAGCTGATTTGCGGTGACGGACTAAGTCTGAGGCGGGACTTCCGGGGCAGCCCGCCGAGGTGGTGTCGGGAGGTGTAGTGGGAAGGAAAGGACACGTCAGCATCTGGCCACGGGGCGCGAGGGGACCTGGGAGCCCCGACCTCACCCTCCCTCCCGGCCCCGCCCATTACGCCCCGCCCCCTTAAGCCCCGCCCCCCGAAGGCGATGAGGTTCGCAAGTGGACGGACGCTGGCGCGGGCGCTCTGGGCTTGGCGGCGCAGCGCAGTGCTAGCTCCTTGCCGAGTCCCGGCCTGGACTTCGATCGTGTATCTGGGATCCAGCGCTTAGGAGGCGCCCTACTTAACCGTTGATGGAAGGAATAAGTATATTTTATGGGCACGACTTAGCCTGTAGCCCCGGGAAAATGATGTCGTTCGTTGGCCTCTTCCCTGATGCTCCAAGTTAGGAACAGCTCTGGGGTGTGCTCCCTGCACCCCCTCCTCGACTCGGCCTCGGCTTTGTTAGTAAGGTTAGGAGAGGATAAGAAAGCCACGCTACAGGGGGGAAGTGTTCCCGAGAAAAAGCCGGATACGTAGAGCCCAGGGCCTTAGATGTATTGTCATTTAATAGTAAAAACCTGGCTCTACACTGAAGACAGCCATTCTCCATAACTCTTTTGAGAAAGGGTTATTTTCATTTTGTCTCCCGTGCCCACGAATTCATCTCTCTTCAAAAGAAACGCCATCCGATTATTGTTACCACTCTCCATCTGGTGTTCTTCGAAGTTGTCCTCACACCGACTTTACACAGTGGTCCCTAGTAACTTCAATATTTATGATCAGGACTTATCCAATATCCTGTCCTCTCCTCTCCTCACTTTCATTTGTAATGAACTTGACCTTTGCACCCCCTCTCTGGACAGATGAAGCAGTATAAATTCATGTCTGAAATTGTCAAGGCAAACATCTCGTTTTCTGATCGTGGTGGCTTGTCCTTTTTACTTTGTAATGGGTTACCTGTTGCTGCATAATGACGGGTCCTAGGAGTCAGTAACAATGCCCAAAATATATGGAGCACTAAACGTGCACAAAACATAATTGTGCCAAATGCCTTCACCTATATTATATATTTGAATATTTGAATCTTTAGGGTAACCCTACAAAGTAGATATAATCAATCTCTTCTAAGGGGGTGAAGGGTGCATTCGTATGCAGCATTAATAGAGCATGCTAAGTGAACCGTTTCAGAGAGGGTCAAGATAGGAACTCAGAACTATCACATATAATAAATACACTTGTGTTTTTGACCAGCCTGTTTCTAAGGTAGAGTAACAAACCACCCTCATCCTCATCCTGCACCTGTAGAATTGAGAAGATGGGTAAAGAATTCTCACCTCTCCAGTAAGCCTCCTTTGGGGAAACATTTGAAAAACTTCCTGCCTCAATACTCCCAACCCACCTCCAATTAACTCTTGGAGGTTCTCTATTACATCCACTACTCTGCTCCAGCAACTTGGCACAGCATGGTCACTGACCATGACCTACTTTTCGGTATTCTTCTCTTCCTCCTCTGCTTCTTTTACTGTGTTTTACTTTTTTTTTTTTTTTTGGTCGATCATGGGCTTGAACACTGGGCCTGGATGCTGTCCCTCAGCACATAGGTGTGTGTATGTGTGTGTGTGTGTTTGTATGCCAGTGGTGGGGCTTGAACTCAGAGCCTGAGCACTATCCTTTGACTTATTCTGCTCAAGGCTGGCACTATACCACTTGAGCCCCAGCTTTACTTCCTATGTCATTTGATTTTTTTTTGTACCAGTCCTGGGGTTTGAACTCAGGGCCTGGGCACTGTCCCTGAGCTTCTTTTGCTGAAGGCTAGCACTCTACCACTTAAGCCACAGACCCACTTCCAGCTTTTTCTCTTTACGTGGTACTGAGGAATTGAACCTGGGGCTTCATGCATGTTAGACAAGCACTCTACCACTAAGCTACATTCTCAGCCCTCATTTGATTTTAATTAATGTAACACACATAGCTGTGTGACTGTAGCACATCATCAGATTATATTTAATCTTGCTATCATGTCTGCTGCTATAACTATTTATGTAGGTTTTTAAATTTTTTTCCATTTGCCTTATGTAGTTCAACTTTAATTAAAATACATAATGGCAGCTGGACATAGTTTTGTGTGTCTATAAACTCAGCACTCAGATAAATGAAGAGGACCAAGAATTTGAGACCAGCTGGGCTATAAGCAGTAAGATCTTGCCTCTAAAAGCAAAATATGCACATGTATAGATAGGTGAACTTTTTCAAAAATGCATAAAATTTGTTTAAAAATTAAGAAATCAAAAATATTTTACTTTGTAATATTAAATGTGAAAATCAAATTCTAGGCTAAGAAGGTAGCTCAGTGGTTAAAGCGCTTGCCTTGCATGCCTGAGGCCCTGGGTTCGATTCCTCAGCACCACATAAGCAAAAAGAAAAAAGCCGGAAGTGGCGCTGTGGCTCAAGTGGTAGAGCGCTAGCCTTGAGCTGAAGAGCTGAGGGACAGCGCCCAGGCCCAGAGTTCAGGCCCCATGACCGGACCCAAAAAAAAAAAGAAAATCAAATTCTATTTTTAAAAATTATTATTTAAGTTTAGGCATTGTTTCTCAAACCTTGTAGCATAAAACTTATAGCAATCCAAGGAAAATAATGCACACTTCCCAACTTGCACTATCTTTATAACTCAACAAAAAGGACTTGTGAAAATATGATATATAGTTATACAAGTATATAACTTTTTTGTGTGTACTGGAGCTTTACCTCAGTGCCTCAGACTCTGGCTTGGCTGTTTTGCCCAAGACTACTGCTCTACCACTTAAGCCACACTTTTGTTTGCAGTTTTTCACTGGTTAACTCAAAATAAGAGCCTCATGAACTTTTCTGTCCTGGCTGGTTTTGAACTGTGATCCTCAGATTTCAGCCTCCTTAGTAGCTAAGATTACAGGTAAGAGCTACCAGCACCTAATCTTAGTAATAATTACAAAACTTTCAGTAAAGGAGTCAACTGCAACCCTATCTTAATGTTACTTAATGGCAAGGCCATTCTCCCAAATGCTATTAATCAATGCATCTGGGTTGTTAGTCACCTTGGGTAATTGTATATTGATTTACTCCTGCTACAACTATTGGTTTTGAACCGTGGTGGGTTTTATCCCGATAGTCTTTGCCTGCCACACAAATTTTCAAGTAGAAAAGTAGAACAACGCCATCCCATGGTACTACCTTTGTTAAAGATTCATATTATTCCAAGTCTCTCAATGCAGATGATCAAGGCAAGATAGAAACGGAGTATATTGCATTCCATATCCAGAATCCTGAAGTCCGTTGCCAGCAAACTCAATTACAAGAGTTTTGGCAAGTAATGGAAACTGTATTTTCAATGGGATAATTACACATTTTTCCTTTACAGTTCAAGAAATTGGAGAGCTTTGTTTAGAGACATCACTGCGGTATCCTTGGCTTTTAGTTGGAAACTCACTGCTTCAGCCCCAGGCAGTAAAAGATGAAAAGAAGCCAAGAAAGAAGAAAAACCAACGCCAAAAGTATCTGTCCATTTCTAGCAAGAAAGCAGAAGTTTGCACAGAGTGCCTATTGTAAGGCCTCTCTTTCCTACAGAGGAGGCGCAGATGACATTTGAGTAACAAGGGATTATCAGAAACAGGTGTTGAGGTGCCTTGAGCACTGGGATTCTTCTTTGTTCTGGCCCTGTTCTGCCCCTCTAGAACTCCTAAGCCCCATTCCCACCAGAGCAAGAAAGAAGGCAAAGCAAGAACAAGCTACCAAGTAGGAAAATGAACAGAAGCAGAGTAGTTGGCTATGGAGTGGGGCATCCATCAGGAAAGAAGCTGAGTTCAAAAGTACAAGTGATTGTCTTTTTAGAGTGGAGCACAGGGCAAGAAGCTAGAGTTCGAGTGGTAACTTGAAGAGGCATATGGTTTACTCGGCAGATCTCAAGATGGTCCATTCTATTTTTTTTAGGTGCACTTTGCTGGAGCGCCACATTCATGCTCCTATTGGATAAGTATTTCTGGTGGCATGATACTGTATTTCAGCCATGTTCTACCTTCCTATCAAGAGACACCAGAAAGCAGGAAACATCTCTGCCCTGAGTCTTTGTCTCATACCTTCCAGAGTGGTCTAAGTTGAAATAATAAAATTACACTACACTCTGTGGTTCAGTAAAGACCAATTAAGAGTTTACTCTCTTAAGAGTGTTTAAGAGTATAGGATATTGCTTTATGCTGCAACTGAAACAGGTTAACCAACTATAGAGCTATATGATGTTTATATGCTTAAGAAAAAAGAAAACAGAAAACACCATTTCATTCTGCCTAGAGCTCTGTTCCTTGAATAGAAACAAAAATAAACAAAAATCTCTACCTTCTAGAGGCTTATATTCAAATGCCAGGAATTCAGTTGGAATCATCATGACAGTTAAACTTTAAATTTGAATTACTTGCAATCATGACAAATTTTCAAACAAGGTTATATAATTCTCATTTGTCAAAGGAAGCATATTATTTCATGGGAAGAGACTAACTTTTCCTTGACATAAAGTTCTAGAAAGCTTTCATTGCATGACTGTATAAATAAATGATTAAGAATGGACAATGGTTTTGTTGTTTTAAATACATAAAATTTGGAATATATATAGATAGATATATCTATATTTTGGGGGGGGGGGGGTCTGGTCGTGGGGCCTGAACTCTGGGCCTGGGCGCTGTCCCTCAGCTCTTCAGCTCAAAGCTACCGCTCTACCACTTGAGCCACAGCGCTACTTCCGGCTTTTTTCTTTTTGCTATGTAGTGCTGAAGAATTAAACCCAGGGCCTCATGCATGCAAGGCA